AGGTCCTTTCATTATATTATTTATAGCTGCAATATTGCTCTAAAACCAACACCCCCATTTTCTTCTAAATGTATGGGGTTCTGTTGTGGAACATTGTCACGCTGTAGAAAGAACACTTTCTGAAAGCCATATGAAATCAGTGCACTTAACATAGGACAAGAGCGATACAATCATATTTGGCATAGAGACAAAGTGGAGAATACAGACAACATGGAGCAGCAACAAGACAAAGAGCAGCAGCCCTCTGACCCCCTACAGCAGCAACAAGACAACGTGCAGCAACACACAGACCCCATGCAGCAGCACGGCCCGGACACCGTGCAGCAGCACATATATACTGTGTAGCAGCAAACTGAGCATGTGCAGCAGCAGCTAGACACTATTAACCTGTGCTCAGGTGACATGCATTCCGTACAGTATAGCATGCCATCGATGCATCGGTCTGACAGTGTGGATTCTGAAGAGAAGAAGCGCCAGGAGTTTGTTGCCGGGGTGGTCATGGAAGTCATCAAGAGGTGTAAACTGAAGGAAACCAACGATTAGAAGTTGGACAGCTTCACAAAGTGTTGGTAAAAGAAATACTGAAAGGGGTTTTTTCTCAGGGTGCTCCAGTTTTCCCCTTTTAATCTAATAAATTTCATACTAAATATGAACATGAAGATCTGTCTTGAATAAATAATGTATGAGCATTATGTCCATAATCATTTCATGTAACTTTCTGTTGCATTTTATCTCTCAAACAGATAGATAAGATTATTAAATGTGTTGTTGAATAAGGTATTTTTCTTTAAATTTTAATTAATTTTGTCAGGTTGTTCAGGTTGTCAATACAGAAGTCTAGTTAATATTACTTTGCTTGAATGATAAAAATTACTTTTTTTCCCTAAGACATTCGCCAAGCGGTTCATTCAAAATTAGCTTCCCTGTCAAAGTGCTTTCAATCACAGATGCTCGAGAAAAAAGCAAACTACTGTATATGCAGCCGTAAATGCATCCTCAACGTTATCACAGGTGTCACAGGGTTAGCATCAGTTGCAGTCGCAGGTCCTTGCATTATATAATTTATAGCTGCATTATTACTCTAAAACTCCCCTATTTTTTGAAAATGTATAGGGTTTGATGTGGAACATTATGTATGACAAAGCAGTAGAACATTTTGGAGGAAACTAATAACCCAAACAACTTAAATTAAGTCCTGAAGGCAGCTGGAAATAGAATGCTTGGTACAACAGAGTGGGCAGCTTAAAAAGCAGTGGAAGATAGCCTTGGGGGAGGAGAAGGGTCGAATCAACATACTCCAGAACAGTATCAAAAGCTGACTGACAACCTTGAGGTGAGGAGAATGCCTATGAACAGCTCAACACACGTTGTAGAAAGAACACTTGCTGAAAGCCATACGAAAGCAGAGCAGATAACATTGGACAAGAGCGATACAATCATATTTGGCATATAGACAAAGTGGAGAATTCAGACAACATTGAGCAGCAACAACACAAGGAGCAGCAGCACTTGGACCCCCTACAGCAGCAACAAGACAACGTGTAGCAACACACAGACCCCATGCAGCAGCACGGCCCGGACACCGTGCAGCAGCAGCTAGACACCATTAACCTGTGCTCAGATGACATGCATTCCGTACAGTATAGCATGCCATCAATGCATCGGGTTGACAGTGTGGATTCTGAAGAGAAGAAGCGCCAGGAGTTTGTTGCCAAGGTGGTCATGGAAGTCATCAAGAGGTGTGCACTGAAGGACATCAACAATGAGGAGTTGGACAGCTTCACAAAGTGTCTGGTAAAAGACATACTAAAAGGACTCAAAGAGGATTTTGTTCCCCACATGTGCAG